AATGTCCGTATTCAATTAATTTAGATATGCCCAGGCGAAAAAGGCACCATAAAATACAATGTTATGATGCGTTTGGCRAGGTATATGAACTGTTTTGAAGTTTATGCAAATTGAGTGTTGGTAATTCAAACTAATCTAAAAAATATTTTTCTGTATTTTTTTCTTTTACTATCTTGAAATAACTTTTTAAAAAACTTACCAGGGGCACAGAATTTTATATGTCTGATCTTCCTAGACGGCTCACACTAAGGAAAATAGTCAAAATACTAGTACAATTTATCGATATCGTCCACGACGGAGAATGACGAGGGAATAAACAACTTTATAGTCAAAAACAAGTGATCAATTACATTCAAGATTTTAGTTAATTCAGTAAAAATGTCTTGCTTTTCACAATTTCCTGGAGTTTTTGCAAGATGCGCGATTCAAGAGGTATTTCAGGGATATTTTGCCCACTGCATATAATGATGATATGCCAAAGCCACTTTGCTGCAATCCACATCTATCAAAACAACACCTGACAAAGCGGGATCTTAGAGACGGACCATTAGATAGTCGATGGGGGGTTGCGTAAATCCCCACAAAAAATATCGAGCAAGCACTCAAACCTCAAAATATCGTGCAACCTCTTCTGCTAGAAGGAAAATATCTAACTGTACGCAAAAAAAAAAATAACGTGCAAGGGTTGAGCAAAAATTAAAATTAAAAAAAATTAAAAATTCCTGCAACCCCCCATCTTTTGTCTAATAGTCCATCCCCTATTTAGCACGAGCTTACATGTTGACTCGCAACAGTGTTGTAACAGCACAAACATTGCTCCGCGTAATCGCGCCTAAAGACAACTTCATAGCAAAAGATCATATGAAAGTTTGCGTAAAGAATCATACTCATTTTAGCCTTGGAAAATTTTGGCGACCCACTAAGGCTTGCCTCTATTCAACACAACAAGATATACCAGGCTACAAGAGCTCTAATACCCAAGTCGGCATTCAATTAAAATGTCGATATGTGCAAGCGAACGTTTAGATAAACGAGTAGAGATAACTAGTAGAACCCTAGTTTGGACTGCGTTCGGTGTTTTTGAATAAAACAGTCGGAACTCGTGAATAAATTGAATCACCGTAAAAAGCTTTGTGAAACTTACGTTTCGGACGCTTAGTCCTTATAAATCGTCGGAGTAAGGGACATTTAGATAGTCTGCGTAGCAGCGCTTTGAGGGGAGGGGTAGGAAGGGACGGGGGAGGC